CTGTCCCAGGCTCAACAGTGCTCTCCAGACAGCCTTCTCTTTTGGACAGCAGTGGCAGCACATTTCCCTAGGGGCTGACTGGCTGCTGAAGCCAGCCAAGTCCCCCAGCTGAGAATTTCCTGGCTCTGGTTTCTAGACTCTTGGACCTCGCTCCCTCAATGGGTCCCGCAGATGGCAGGCAGCCTTTTTTCTCCAGATTTTGAGTTGATTCACCTTACCTGGGGAAGATGACTTGCTGTTTTTCTGACAATTGCTACCTTCTCCGGCAATATTAAAAAGCACAACAGTTTTGTGTTCTGCACGTGAAATATTTAGTGCTATTAAAATATAAGAAATAAAATCCTTCTTCCGTTATTATACAATTAGGTATTGTCTAAGAATCATTACCTAATTATCAGTTATTTTACGTTCATTCTGATCCAACGTGTGCTTGTACCCACCTTTTATTTTGTGGTTTCACTAACTACTTAATTATCTGCACTACAGCCAAATATAAAATTCTATGAAGATTTAGTAGCATAAATGAAGAACTAATTATAGGTAATTTCACCTATTAAATCTTTCTCATTGATCATAGGCTAGAAAATAATATTACCTTAAAGTGCTAACTTGTGAAGCTGGGTAAGAGATGCTTTTTCTATCTTTCCTGTGTTATAAAATTGAAGTCTCCTTCTCCAGAGGTGGGTCAAATGAGCCTGGAAGTCTATTTTCATCCTAAGTGTAGCACTTGTTCCAAATCTTCAGATTCGGTACAAGACCCCAGTCCTGGATCTCTAGACCTGAGTTCAAATTCCATTTCTGTGACTTAACTGAATAATCTCAGGGCAAGTCACTTTAAGTACTCTGAATGCCCATTTCTTTAAGCTATCACACAGGGACAACACATCACTTTGCAGAATTACTAAATGAGACAATTTACATAGAAGATGGTAAACCAATACTGTTCCCTGTTCATCTCCTCAGTACCCAGAAGCTTGGATTTAGCTCTTGGTCAAAAGTAGTAGTCTGTACCGACAATTATACACTTGAGGTCTCGGCCTTTTCACTTGAATTTATTGGTAGATTTTCTGATTAGAAATTGAAAAGTTAAAGAATAAGAAGAGATGAACAAGTTGAGAAGCTCACTCTTTGTTAAGGTACTCTTCCAGGTATTTTAGTACTTCTGTCACTTAACTGCTGCTACAATTCCGGGAAGCAAGAATTCCTCATCTTTTGTATGAGAAAGCCACGGTTTAGTGAAATTGACCTATCCCGTAAGTGGAACTGGAACATAAATCCAGGTCTGATGATTGTGAAGTCTGTGCTCTTTTCTGTTTTCCATTCCTTCAAGGTGGTTGGAAAAGCATCTGAGATTTAAAAATCCTTTGACCTTTTTTTTTTTTTTGCCCTCTTAAGAACATAATATACAAGCCAATTCTGACAAGATCACCTGCACTTCCTGGTCCATTCCTTCTTATCTCAGTTCCCTGGCTCATAATAAGCAGCAGTGATCCTCTGCTTCCCCGAGGAGAGCCCAGAGTCCCTGATGTTTCTGCTTGAGCTGAGATAGGCGGATAGACTATACCTCAAAGGGTATTCAGAAGTGGCAAGGCCTTCACTCAGTCACAATATAGTCCCCCAGAGTAAAAGCACAGCCTCCAAAAGGTAGCATTAGCTGTTCCAACCAGCAATTAAAATAATAAACTGCTGTTTTAGTCATTTGGTGAGTCACAGCAGAGTATTTGAATGTCTTTACAGAACAGAATGAGAACTCTGTGGTATGTATGTGAGCCCCGTGTAGGGCTTTCTATTGCTGTCTTGGCATGAACACCAAGAGTCTTGTACTTGGGGGCATTAGAAAGGTTCAAGACCATCAATGCCCTGCTACAGGAAGCAGAAGCCAATTCAGTCTACTAGTAAGCTTCTTCTGGGATGTACTGGGGTTACAGCCCATTCAGCAAACCTAATCTTCCAAGTTCCAACTTTCCTAATAAAAAGGGTCCTTTTCCTAGGGGAACCTCCTGGATGGCTATAAAACTGCTGTACCTTTGAGACTTCCTACTCCCAGAGGGTTCCTTAGTTTTCCAAAATGGACTTTCTTATGTGCAGATCTGTTGGGTGGCCCACTTGTCACATCTGATCTTGTGTCATAAAAATAAAGGTAGATGGAACTTCTCCTTGAGCCCACACAGACCCCAGGGTTAGTACTATACATGTTCTACACATGAACACCCCTTGTGGGAAAGAAAGCCCAGATAATCTATGTAATGTATATAACACAGAACCAACTGTGCCAACTTTTGATGTAAACAACACATCATATGCATACTAATCAGCCAGTCAGATAAACTCAAACAAGAATTAAAAGACAAACATTGAAAACAATTTTTTTTCTTAGAGCTAAGTTATTCTTCCTAGAACATAAGGCATTTTAAAAGTTACTGTTTAAGATTACTAGACATCCTCTTCCAGTACCCCAATTAACTAGATAGCAATAAAAAGTTGATCCACAGAACTGACCCAACCTGGATATATTTTAGAGTAGCAAGACAGATGGAAATAAAAGAAAAGATAGTCAACTGGGATCATAAAGAAACATTAAAAGGTTGAAAGATTATGCCTAGATAAAAAGATCATAAGAGAGTGGATTTTTTTCTTCTTCCTACTTTTATTTTTCAAATTTTATGTGAAAATGTACTTATTTACATAAAAATATTTATCTGGGTAGCAACCGGAAATTTCAAGAAAATACCAAGGACAATTTTATCTGTTGCCCAGTGCAGTTAAGGCGCTTGATAAAAGGGCCATAGGTGCCCTCGTGTGGCTACAGAGGAAAATGCTGTGGTTTAAGTAAGGTGGGAGGGGCTACTGCCTTAATCATTTAAGAGGCCTCGGGTTTTCCACACCTTGCAGTTTTATTACATGTCAGAGCTTAGAAGTTGGTGTGCTCATGTGGTAAGCTTTGACTTCTATCAAGAGAAGAAGTTTCGTGGTTTAAAAAATATATAATAAAGTTTTAAGTAATCGACACGAACCCTTAAGATTAGCTGAAACTCTATTGTGGAGACGACCAACCCTGCTAGGACATGCAGCCACGCTCTGGTAAGTAAACAGTCAGGCAAGGATGTGGGGTGAGGGAACCCAACTGTTGGAAGCAAAGCAGATTCCAAAGAACAAAAGCAGCTTTAGTTCCCCTTGGAAAACAAGTTCAGCTTCTGTTTCTACTTTAGTTATCAGGAAATCAGAAGCCAATGCCAGGGACCAGAATAGAATTTAAGATAATACCACAAAGATTTAATTCCATACTAATCTATCAACATGAACTTGACCTCCAGACATTTAAAGCAAACATCATTCAACATTATGATACATGAGTCAATAACCTATTTCTTTAAAGAAAAAAATTTCTTTTCCCTTATACCAGAGGTATGTGCTATCACACATGACATAATTATAAAGTATATGCATAAGAATTTTTAGATGTCTTTTAAAAATGTTTTCAATGTTCTCTCATTAGTTAGCAATAAACTATTCTTCTCAGAGAAGGAAATGAAGACATTCAAATGCAAAGAAGGCACTCACAGCTCTATAGTGGAAGCTTCACTTGTCACATACTTTTCAAACTCTAAGAGCATTAACTTAAAACACCTTTTATAAAATCTCCTCCATGACACCAAGCCTTAAAGCTGAGGCACTGAAACATATAGAAACATCTTTTGTGCCTCCAGTTACACAGCACATCCTGTGGGAATTTCTCTACTAGACTTAAACAAAGGCTAATACTGTGCCTAAAATACATTTTGAACTGGCAAGGAATATAAATAAATACACTGCTGTTATAATGTGGAAAAATACTTATATGTTAAATTTAAAAAAAACATAATATAAAACTGAATATACAGCATGAATAAACCACTCAATCACACACCCCGATCTATAGACAGACAGACGAGAAGAAAATACTAAATTACCAGTAGTGGTTGTATTCCAGAAGGTTGAGACTATGGGTGACTCTGTTGCTGTTTTCTAATTTCACTTTTCCAAATCTTTAATGAGTACTTGCTACTCTTTTCTAATGAAACAAACAAGCAAACAATAAATACTTATTGACCACTTATCAAATGAATAGTTGCCACCTAACTCAATTATCCTAAAATTCTATCAAGAAAGAAACTATGTTTGGGTCTGAAACATGATTGAAACATGTTATCCGAGGTAAGTACAGCAGGACAGTGTGAGTGGGTACAGAAGGAAGAATTAGACCAGAGGAATTCAAGGCTATGGGTTGAATCCTGGCTCTGTGTGACCCTAGGCATTGGTTTCCTCATCCTGTCAAATGAGAGGCTGGACTAGAATAGTAGTTTCTAATCCTCAATTGGTTTTACCCACCGCTCTAAGTCAGGGACCTTTCTCTCCAGGAAAAACAAAACAAAACAAAACAAAACAAAACAAAACAAAACAAAACAAAACACATATGCTCCCAGAGCTTTTGAAAACAACCCAGGAGGTTTATGGATTCTCCAGCGGTTCACTGACCAGGTTAAAAACACTGATTGGTTAATATGTTATCTTCTGCAGCTCTGTCTCCACTGCCACAGGGAGGTATAATACAGTCCTATTTTTGTTTCCTTTATCTTTGCTGAAGGCCTGATCTAGCTGCTGCCAAAATATGCCAAGGTCATCGGTATTCTGCTCTAACCAATAGCTACCTTTCAAAAGTGTGGCTAATTACTGAGCCTGTTTTCTCTGCAGATATCAAGTAGCTGGTATCATACTCAAAAATTTCAGTCTAAATAGAACCCTAGTTAGACTGCTGGTATAAAATCAGGCTGTGAAAGTCAAGCACAGCAGAGGGTAACTGAAATACCAAAAAAGACTCCTTTTCTAG